CAAACCAGGTAAAGTGGGCAAAGATTGACCTCACTAAACACTTTGCTGATGATGTGAAAAAGAGATGAGAATGAATAAAGAATAAATCTGATTTTAGTTGACTTCAAAAACGACATGACCCGTATCATCTTTCTGTTTTTAAAAAAAATCTATTCTTACAGGACATCTTGAGAGTCCTCCGATACTTCGCAGCGTTTCCTCTGATAAATGCCTTTATGAGTTGGAGTGGTACACGGCTGCTGCCTGCATCCTCTCAAAGACAAAAGGAGACGACTGCAAGGTGGAGGACCCCCAGGCTGGTAAGGGTTAAACACAAGTCTCCTATATTTAAAGCCTAATGTTGCTCAATCTGTGCAATAACTTTACTTTTGTCTCTTTTTTGATTTATCAATCAATTCATTGGATCCAAAAATGATGTAAAAGACATTTTTGCTATTTAGGTTTTTTTATAAAATAAGTTGGCCTCTTTATTCTTTAACCAGATAGTTTTAGGCTACTAGAACTGTCCATAAGTTTCAGGCCAAATCTGATTTCTACATTTCTTTGGGCAAACATTAGGCTTCAATGCACATTTTAGAAGACAAAAATTAATAAAGCCTCGTGATCTAATAAGAATTTAAAATGGAATGACCCATCAAAGCGAACTCAAATCTATAGTTAAAATATAAGAAATTGAAGTTTTAGAACAACATGTTCTAAATGTTATTCATTTTAAAACCAAACCTTCTGATTTTCAGGGGAAAAGTTTTTTTGTCGCTCACTTTTTCAAAGTCACAGTTAATGTACAGTTTTAAAAAAACATCCCTGTAGTAGCAGATGTCATGATGTAAGAATGTAGCCCCAATTTTTTACATTATAAGTTTTTTTTTTAATAGTTTTTTTGTAATTGTTTTTGGCATTTTACACCTTGCCCAGGAACAACAGTTGAAAACTGTTAGCTAATTCTGACACATTTACAGAAATGTTTATTAATGTGTACTGTCCGTGACAATTAAACAAATAAATAAAAATAAGTTATGTGTATACAAAAACTGTGCTTAGTATTTCCAGTGTGTATCATCTGTGAGAGAACCTAAACCAGTGTATCACAGGGTTGGATGTTTGAACCTGCTGTTGATCTTTTCTGGCTTTAGCATCCCTCAAATCCTGGCTTATCACTGCTCCCTGGTGGAGGAGGCAGTGATTACACTTTCTGTTAGCTTTTTCAGAGCTATAGTTTCAGGTTTTTCCGATGCAGTCTGTGAAGCTTAGCAATTTTATTATATTAATTTTCAGGTTTTTTTGAAAAGTGTCTAATGTTTATTTTTAAAGATTTATGTTTCAATTTGTCTAACTATTATAACATCCTCACCTATTCAGCCAGGCCAACAATTCCCTTTAACGACCCCCTTTCAGAGACATAGACAGGTATGGGGTATTGCAGGCTACAAAAAAAGAAGCCAAATGACCCCCATTCCAAAGGGGTGTATGGAAGTAATTCTGTGTCGCTGGGATTTGAATAAAAAATGCCACTGAAATTTAAATGCTGTATGTTTGTACTTACTGTTTCAGTGTTAAAATATATTCAGATTCAGAACACATTTTTGACCTAAAAAAAATTGGCATTATTTCTACACAGTTAAAATTTCATTTGTTATTTTCTCTTCAAGCTAAAAATTCACATTATTATACGTTTTCTTAGTCACGTGATGTGACGCTTGCGGCGCTCCTAATAAATGACGGAACTGGTCATGCAAGCTAACGCTAACTCAACGGTGAGTTTATTACTTTAATTTTTCTCTAGTTGAGTTACTGTTAGCTAGCATGACCGGCTCCGTGATGCTGGTTTTCCTTCAGTATGAGCGCCACAAGCGCCACGTCACGTGACTAAGAAAACGTAACGGGATTGGCTGGGTGTTGGACGCCACAATCCATTGCTAATGTCTGTGACCTGAAGTAACCCTTCCCTTTTTTTACACTGAATTTAGATGGCGAATTTAAGACAGTGAAATAGAGCCAGTTGAATCTCAGGAGGCTGAAAAGGTTGAATTTTTTTATATGCAGATTTTTTTTAACACTCAAAAATTAAACTGAAAAATAAGTATTGAAAATGTAATTACTTTGAAATAGTAATGTGAATTTTTAGCTTGAAGTGTGTAGAAATAATGACATTTCTTTTTAGGTCAAAAATGTGTTCTGAATATATTTTAACACTGAAACAGTAAATACAAACATACAACATTTAAATTTCAGTAGCATTTTTAATTCAAATCCCAGCGACACAGATTTACTTCCATGAAGGCGGACCTGTTTGTTCCTTCCTATTGGCATGTTGGTGGGCCACTTTATAAATCCTCAAACTTAACACTATTTCTGAGATTTTGAATAGAAAAAGCCTTCTGGATGGGAGGCTAAACGTCTTCAAACTTGAAAACAAAGTTGCGTGGATTCTTTTTTACTTTTTTTAGGAATATCTTTGACCTGGATGACTGAGAATCTTCACCAGCATAATTTAACATTTGTTTGTTCCTCAGCCCACTGTTTAATATCCATGTTTGGCTTTCTATTCATTTATTCACTTCTAGATTTGTATTTAAGGTCTCACTTCTGCCTGCTTAAAATTTAAATATCCCACATTTAATAGAATGTTTATGTGTATAATATAAGATATAAGGCATATATTAATGTAGATCTCTGTAGTCTGTAGAAAGGTTTGGACCTGGTGTTTTGGAGGCAGCAGTTTTTTTTGTTGCAGACTAGAAAATTCCTGATCTGGTTTTGGTTAACCAGATAACTCTTCCATTTTGTTAATTATTGGTTGGGAATCTCTTCTCCATCACTGACACATGTTCCTCTACAGGATTCTCCTTTGATTTGTCACCTCTAACCAAACCTGAAGGCAGCTTCTACAATGTGACCAACGGTGGTTACGACTACTTCATCAATGTTTGTGGTCTGGTCAAAGCCGCCGGGTGTCCTGAGAATGCCGGAGCATGCCAAGTGGAAAAGAGGTAAGCCACAGCCTCCAGATGTTTGCACTTATTCCAAACCTCCATGTTTTGAAAAAAAAACAAAAAAAAAAAAACAACTTGTATCTCTTCTTCCGTTTAGCGCTTGGAGCCTCGGGAAGGCAAACTCTCATCTGTCCTACTATGACGGGTTGATCCAGCTGACCTACGTTAATGGCTCCCAGTACAACAATGCAAAACACACCCTGAGATCCACCCTCATCTCCTTCCTCTGTGATCCAGAGGCTGGACTAGGAAGCCCAGAATTCCAGGTAAATTCCCTCTTTTGTTGTTATCTTTCAAACTCTCTCTGCACGTGCTTGACTTGAATTTTTTTTGAACACAGGTTGAGGATAACTATACCTATAACTTCCGCTGGTACACATCCTACGCATGTCCTCAAAGGCCTCATGAATGTTTGGTGACAGATCCCATCACTCTCGACCAATATGACCTGTCCAGGTAAATGTTAGTTTGCAAAAAAGGGTCAGCTAGAAATAATTTGCCCTCCTCAACATCCCATTGTTTTGTTTTTTTTTCTGAATCCAGCTTGTCGCGATCCACCTCATCTAAGAACTGGCTTGCAATGGATTTGACCGACACTGCGAACATAAAGAAGTACTACATCAACGTATGTCAGCCCATCGTCCCGGTGCCAGGATGTGACCGGGACGCATCAGTTTGCCAGATGAAGTACATAAACGAAAAGGTGTGAATTGCTCTTTTTTTTTTTTTTTTTACTGTAAAGAAAAAAATTGCTTTTTTTTGTCTAGTTTCATCGAACTTCAGGCTGTTAACCTGGATCTAATCTAATCTTTTCTGAAATTGACTTGAAAACAAGACTAAAACTGCTCAAGGATTCCTGACTGCAAATTAGTCAAGCTTACTAGTAGTACAACAAGTGCCTGTGGTCCATAATGCATACAACCTACAGGCCTAAGAATCAATGTTCTATGATTAGAATAGAACAGAAAATCTCTTTATCGTCCCACAGTGGGGAAATTCTGGTGTTTACAGCAGCAAAACAATTATAGAAGGAAAACATGGCCACACAAATGTGGACCTTAGAAATAAGAATAACATAATAGTGAAGAGTTGCAAGATAAACACTGAAATAAGGTACTGTAAGGTGTTTTAACAATATAAACCTGTACACCTGGAGAATAAATAACCAAAATACAGCTAGGGAAATTTTTACAGTAATGGATATTTGAAAATAAAAGTAACATCAGAGATGTGCAAAATGACAGGAGCATGTTATTTAACTGACTGAGATAGAAACTATGCAAAATCAGCCTGTCACTTAAAATGTGCATATATGTATATGCATATATATGTATATGTGTATGTATGAAATCTTAAATAGTTGTATTAAGACAAAAAATCCAGACCCTTCCCCTTTATTAATCTGTACAGTTTAAGTGATCTGTGTTTTTTTTGCAGGGCTCTACAAAGGAGGTGGTGTCTGTCAGTAACATGGGGAAGTCAAAGAGAGGTCCAATCATCGAGGGAAGGGACCGGCTGCTGCTGGAGTTCACTGATGGTTCTGTCTGCATGTCGGAGGGCCAGAAACTTACTTATACTACAATCATTCACCTGGTCTGCTCTAGAGGAGCCTCTGTAAGTTCATGCTGTCAAAAAAACGAACCTATAAACACATTTTTCGCTGTTCAAATATAGAACATTCATTTAAATCAGCCTGAGAAAAAAAAAAGAGATTTACATGCTCATTCTAATAAAAAAAAATGTGCTTATCAGCCCTTAGCATTTACTGCAGTTTCTGCCCAGATGCAAATTGATGAAATGTTATACATCAAATACTTAACTTTTCCTACTTACGTATTGATTAACCGTGTGGTTAATGATCTAATATCATTTGTGAGTTGAAACAATCGTAAGGGTGGTTTAAAGGCAGTAAAGTGTAAACCAGTTATTACTTTATGCCACCTGCTGGACTGCAAATACTTAAAGCAGCAACAGAAATGTTCTGTTTTTAGTCAAACTTTTATTTATTAGAAGAATAAAAAAGTTAGTGCACAGGAACAGAGAATTGATACCTTGATTGTCTAATTATCAGAATCCAAATAATTTTATTAATCCTTGGCGGGAAATGATTTTCTTGCATATTAACTGTTCACAGAAGAGAGAAAAATAAGATTGTAAGTACAATAGATATAATAAAATATAATATGATAAGACAGATTAAAATAAGTAAAATAACAACCCAGACAGTAAAACTGCACCCTTCCCATATTAACGATGTAAAATAAGATGTAAGGAAATCTGTATACGATGGCAGAACTTGTAAGCATCCCCGTTAGCTGGGAGGCTGCCTTTAAATCCTGGTCTGTCTTACTGCAACGCTGTAAAAGTTAAAAAAGCAAATAAAAAAAAAAATAAATACCTACAGAAATAAAAGAAAAAAAAAAAGTCCAAAGAGAGCAGCTAAATATTAACTATATATTTTCGTACTGGCAGTTTTTACCACATATCTCAAAAATGTTAATATTCACTTTTAACCAAAACAAACGACTGGTTGTGGAAAATCCCAGAGTACCTGGCTGAATATCTGAGTATTCCCAGCATTGCCTGTTTAACTTAAATAATCTATGAGACAGACCAGCCTGTTAGCAAGCTAATATCACTAGCTTCAAAAACTTAAATCACATTTTAACGGCGGCTCATAATCGTGATAAACAGTGTGCACAGATTAAGTTTTGAAGTCTACTTTCTCCTCTAAAAACGTCTTAAAACTAATTTTTGTGACAATTCAATTAACAAGAAAGGACTGACTGAGTTGTCAACATTATTTCCATGTTAGAAGGGAAATCCAACCCCAGAATCTTGCTGAGGAAGCAACCAGAGCAGCTTGACAGCACAGCGCTCTGCTGCTCTGAACAATCTAAAAGAACATTTAAGTCTGCTCATTCTTAAAGTCATAGGGAAGTCGTATTTAAATGTTAAATTTATCAGACGATATTGATCCAAAGTTCAGAAAATTTCTATTAAAAAAAAATCCTGTCTTAAAATCTGTGGGGGTTTTCGTTATCTTATGCAGGTCAGTTAATTATACGTCAGCTTGTACACCTAAATTTGGCCAATCATATATCAACGGTTATCTGTCAATAAAATTTTTTCAGTCATAGCATCTTAGGGATGGACGTCTGTGTCTTCAGCAGGCGTAGAGCTAACAGAACTGGCAGCGTTGCGAGGCAGAGGCTGAAACATGTACGGCTGTAAGCCTTCTACACCAAACCAAGCTTCTGCCACCCTGGCGTCCTCTTCCACAACATCTTCATCCCCGCTTTCCTCCTCTAAATAAAAAATGGATGACGGAGGAGACTCATCCACGACCTCCGACACTAAACTCTCCTCTTGCATGTTTCCTCTGTCCACAGCGTTCCTTCACAGTGTCGCTTCTAAGTCACCAATTTAGTGCCACTTGGTCTCAATGGATTTTCCCATTGGGAACCTGCTAGCACTAAGTTGCTAACTGGTTAGCAAGATGCTTCCAACAAACCGGCCACAATCGAAATTGCTGCAAACCTCCCGCCACAACAATCCCGCCCCCTTCATAGACAACCAATCAAATTCGCTTTATTTGTGTAAAGCCGTGCACCACTTGGGAGAATTCAGAAATGCAACGGTTGGAACGGTCGTTTCCCTACGACTTTAATAAACTGACTACGCTAATTAAGTAGTGTGGTTTTCTTTATGGCTTGTGACCAAAAGTAGGTTTGTAGGATATCTTTCTGAGCTCGGACCAGTCCCATAATCAATCCCAGGGAAAGTTAAAAGGTGTAAAGCCCAAGTAAAGTATCGCCCATGTAATGGCTTGGGTGCATTTTAACAGAAAGCACCTCATAATAGGAAAGTTGCTGAGCTGCGCTCCATGATGGTGTTTTTAACTATATTTTTCTGCTCTCTTTAAAGGCTATGGGCCCGCGTTTCGAGTTAAACCAGAACTGCACTGCCATCTTTGTGTGGGAGACCAAAGCTGCCTGCGCCATCCAAACCATTAAGAATGATGTAAGTTTCCACACATCCTTCTTACTGTCATATCATTTGTCAACTTTTCTACTGATGATATGATTTGAAATGATGATTGTTGGTATTTTCCAATGCTCCAGTCCTGTGAGATTGCAGATCCCGTCTCTGGTTTCAAGTACAATCTTCGGCTTTTGGCCTCTAAGGAAGGATACAACACAACTGCTAACGGCAAAGACTTCTTGGTAAAACACTCACAGTTGCAGCAGTCACTTAAATCAGATCTTTCATTTATATCACATATGTCAAAGTTGAGGCCAGCGGGACAGATGTGGCCTCTGAATTGTTTATCCACGGCCCCCTGGATGATATTTAATTACCATTAGAACCGGCCCAGGCCACGTCGTTTTTGCATGCTGCTGTGAGTTTGCAGGCTACCGTTACATTGTAGGGAATGCATTGATAGTGAGGTTGTGTTGTACACAAGCACTACATTCCCAGGCGAAAACATGATTGTGTTTTATCTCAGGATAATTCTTGGCGGTACGCCCACTATGAAAGTAGAGGGATTGAGTAGGGAACAAAACAAAGTTAATGAATGCTAGGGGTGTAAATAATAATCATTTTGTATCGATGCATCGATCCAACAGCCGACGATCCGATGCATCGATACGTCCGCAAGAGAATTGATTCATATTTTTATTTTTTTTCCTCCAGTCTATTTTTATCCATTTCGTCCTGGATGTAATTCTCCTCCCGTGCTGCGGTGGCGCTAAACCTATTTTGCCCTCCTACCTCGCTTCCTGGTTATACTCTTACAGCAGTGTGTTGCAGTGAGCTTGACACAGACATTTTTAAATTATGCTCAGTATTGAAGCGTGGTCTGTGCTACACGCTGTGAGTCTAGATACGGCCGAGGAGGTGAGGAAGTGGGGGCGAGTTTAGTGCGACGAC